TCTCTCTCTTCTTCTATATATATATATATATATATATATATATATATATATATATGCGTGTGTATGTGTGTTTGTAAAAATTTAAAGCATCCACCTATAGTGCACTTTTTGGTAGTTTTAAAAATTGTAAATGGCAATGAAGAATAACATAGTCCATAAAAGCACCAATACAGACCTTTTTATCATATTTATTTTATTAGTAATAAATAATATGTTTCTTAACTGATGCAATTTATTGTGTATTTCTATACCCTATCAATGTATTTCTTGTATATTCTTACATTAGTGTACAAATATTTATTTATTTTCACACAGCAATGACCTATTACAATTAGTCTGAAGTAATCAATGTAATATACCATGTATGCATGTTTTTGTTAACATTATGAAACCTCGTTCCTGTCCTTTTGAACTTTATTTTGGGTCTATTTCTATGTTTTTAACAACCTAAAACAACAACAACAAATTTACTTATGATGGTTCTGTAATATTTCATTGATAAGTTTATCAATTTATTATCATATCTGCAGCCCACAGTAACTATACCATATATAATTTATATATATGTTAATAATAAATTTATCTGAAGAATATTTAACAAAACCGTTTAACTCATTTCTTTTTTCTGCATCCAAGTGTCTTGTCTAATACAGTAATAAAACAAAAACTGTATTTTTACCATACTATTACTATGCATGTAGCCTGTAGGTCCTAGGCTATTGTTACAATGTCAAGAAATTGAGTTTAACTCGTATGACTCACTAATGCACACACTTTACAAAAATGATTTAAAATTAAAGAGCATTTAATTTTTAAAAATTACCATAGACTGATTTTGAGCTTCGTTAAATTGTATTTTAAAGTTAAAACGATGGCAACAATGAAATTCGAAAAGCATTACCTGGCTTAACCTAAGTAAACCTATGGTGCAAAGAAAGTTGGAGTTGGAAAGCCTGGTTAAATTGTCTGAAGTAAACTAATAGTAATACAAGTTATAAATTATACACGATAAATCTGGTCTTGTTTAAAGGATATCTTCTCTTCTTAACTACATTAAATGTTAAGGAAATATTTAAAAAAAAGTAGACATCACATCACATATACTTACTTCCCGTGGAACCAATCTCTGCAAACATCACATTGGATCATAAAACCCGTCTCTTCATTGACTTGTCCACATACACAATACCCTCTGTTTGAAGCCATTTTAGTTTGTGTCTCAAAATATAAAATACGCTAGATGACGCTAGTAGGAAAAAGCGAAATTCTAGTAATTATGGTATATAATATAATTATATAATATAATATCAAATTAAGGCACGAAAGACATTTTAAAGCATGAATAAAAACAATAATTTATGTTTCATAGTGTTGTTTTCGTGCCTTAGTTTGATGGATTTGAGAATGAAGATGCCTGTGTATTTCCGTAAAAATGTATTATATTCACTTTCATGATTTTTTATTTGTTTGTTTTGAATTTCGCGCAGAGCTACACGAGGGCTATATGCGCTAGCCGTCCGTAATTTAGCAGTGTAAGACTAGAGGGAAAGCAGTTAGTCATCATCATCCACCGCCAACTCTTGGGCTACTCTTTTACCAACGAATAGTGGGATTGACCGTCTCTTTATAACGCCCCCACAGCTGAAAGGGCGAGCATATTTGGTGGTAAGGGGATTCGAACCCGCGATCCGCAGATTGCGAGTCTAACTCCCTAACCACGTGGCCATGCGGCCCATTTCGACGAGAAAGGTACCGTGAAAAATATTCAGTGGCAATAATTTTAAGATCCGACGATAAAGATACTGCAGAATTTCTCTGACAAACATAGGCTATAATTACCTGTTGATGCCTTAAATATTTGTA